GTTAAAATTAGTAACACAAGAAACATCAAGTGCTGACTAGGACGTAGAGAAAAAGAAGCTTCATACACTGCTGGTGGGAATGCAAACTGGGGCAGATACTGTGGAAAACACTATGAAGGTTCCTCAAAAGTAAAAATAAAATTACACTATGATCCAGTTATCACACCACTGCTATTTACCTTTAAAAAAGACAAAAAAAAAAAACAACCAAAAAACAAGAACACCAATTCAAAGGGATACATGCACCCCTATGTCTACTGCAGCATTATTTACAATAGCCAAATTATGAAAGCAGTCTGATGAACTGGTACACACACACACACACACACATGTACACACGGATATTAACCAGCCATTAAAAAGAAAGAAATCATGATATTTTGCAAAAACATGGACAGAGCTAAAGAGTGAAATATATTTCTAAGTGACTTATGTTAAAGAAAGGCAAATACCATATGATTTCACTCATAAGTGGAATGTAAAGGGTGCCTGGGTGGCTCAGTTGGTTAAAGCCTCTGTCTTTGGCTCAGGTCATGATCCAAGGGTCCTGGGATAGAGCCCCGCATTGGGCTCCCTGCTCAGCGGAGAGCCTGCTTCTCCCTCTCCCTCTGCCTGCTGCTCTGCCTCTTGTGCTCTCTCTCCATCTCTCTAATAAACAAATAACATCTTAAAAAAATAAATAAATAAGTAGAATGTAAGAAACAAACAAGCAAAAAGAAAAAAGAGAAGGGCAAAACAAGAACAGACTCTTAACTATAGAGAACAAACTGATGGTTACCTGAGAGGAGGTGGGTTGGAGAATAAGTGAAACAGGTCATGGGTATTAAAGAGTACACTTGTGGGGCACCTGGGTGGCTCAGTGGGTTAAAGCCTCTGCCTTCAGCTCAGGTCATGATCTCAGGGTCCTGGGATCGAGCCCCACATCGGGCTCTCTGCTTAGCAGGGAGCCTGCCTCCCCCTCCCTCTCTGCCTACTTGTGATCTCTGTCAAATAAATAAATAAAATCTTTAAAAAAATAATTTTAAAAAATAGTAAAATTACACTTGTAATGAAAAATGGATTTAAAAAACCAAAAAAAATATACAGAATTATAGAATTATTACTTTGTACACCTGAAGGTAATATGTCAATTATGCCTCAATTTAAAAACGCAGACTAAACCAAACAAAATCAACACACACACATACACACACACACACACACTCATACCATGAAGTCTAATTTGCTAAAATTGGACTTGCACTGATTTTCCAAGTGTCAAGAAAGCAACCCAACTCAACCACAAAAATCAGAGTTTACTTAAGACAAACACATATAAATCAATAAAACAGATTTCTAATTCATCTATGTTACCACACTTATGTTGACTAATGCACATTAGCCAAACTAAAGGAGACAAACCGGAAATAGAAGGCCAACATGTTAATATACAATGATACGCATTACTATCAAAAATCTGCAGTGTTTTTTTATTAGTGGGACAGCCCATTTTCTTCCATTAGATTTATATGGGCTGCCAGTTTATTATAATGTTTTGATGTGCACTGAACTGGTATCAAGGAACAAGTCCTCTTGGGCAGTGTTCTCCTATCTCAGGAAACAAGTAACCTCACCAACTACAGAGAGGGGCTATGAGAGACCTTGTTCAAATGTATCAGCAGAGGAACTCCCACTCCCAGCCTACCTCCACCATGAATCTTAAGCAGCAAAAGCCCAAGTTTGTCTCATTAGCTCGCTTTTCTTAGAGTTGTCATTTTATTCATTCTGCTATGTTTAGGTTAACTCACCACTCTGAATGAGAGTTTCTTTCTTTAATTATTTGAAAACAGAAGTAAGATTGCCAGGAGGAATTTTTACTTTCTACCTAAGACCTGGGAATACATTTTTTAGATAGTAAAATAATTGAGAAGATCAATTTTGAGTGTATTTTACAATTTAACTGTCAGAGCTTTAAGCCTCCAACACCATTGTCACCTAAGTTTTCTTAAACCAGTAATTCTTTCAGAAACTCTGCTCACAAATCAATAGTTAGATAAGGGCGTAGGACTCTTGACCTCAGATTCTTGTTAGTACAATGGGGGCAAAAAGAGTTCTTTTCAGTGACTGAAGAACAGGTACTTTAATATATACCATGTTGTTTGAGAAGAAACTCCCTTGAGCTAACCTTAGACGTTAAGGATCTTACCATTCCACATAGGAATCTTGCTCTTAATTCCTCTATGGCCATGGAACCCCTTACTCAGCCATTGGCTGTGCGGAGTCAGAGAATAAACCTCCATGATTTTGACAGCAATCTAGGAGTTTAAATGCTTCTTTCAAAGGTTTCAACCAGTTGGGGTTTTTGGGTTTGGGGGATTTTTTTAGCTGTCCACCTCACCTTCAGAAGTATCCTGTACCCCTAATTGCTGAACCTTTCCAAGATCCTGGGATTTCAACCAACATGCTTCTTCGGGACTGTTCCCACTTTTTTAGGACTGGTCAGTCTGATTGATTACCATGCTGTTCTTCTAACATTTTGTTGTCATCTTTTATCGACTCCAGCACCTCTTACATTCATTTTCCCTTGTGTAGTCTTTTTGGGTGGGAAAATGCAAGAGTGGAAATAATGCCATCTAAACATTTAACTAAAACCAAAACTAGCTACATTTCTTCACATTTCCCCATCCCAAATGAAGAACTGTGGACCGGTTCCATAGTGTAATGGTTAGCACTCTGGGCTCTGAAGAACTGTGGACCAAACTTCAGAGGCAAAAGCTCTCATACACTGTAATTTTACACCGGCTCAAAATTCTGAAAGACAGATCATACCGTAAGGGTCATTTTTCGATCACTATCTTTCTTAGTCAAGATTAATGAAGAAATAAAGATGACTCACAACAACCTCTGTTGGTGAGATGGCAAAAGTTTGAGAAAGGAAAATCTTAATTTACAAAGGACAAAGGAGATTTGAAATGAAATTCTACACAACCCATACTCACAGCGCAGACACCGTCCTAAAATAAACCAAATGACACACAGTGGTGATACCCAATTACAGCTTTTCTTATTTGGGACAATGAGAGCTGTTCTTCCCCCCACAGTAATGGCAAACACGCATAATTTCACCAAAAAGCAAAAGGCAAGAATTTTACATTTTATGCTTCCATTTCCTTTCCTTATTTGAACCTGGATAATTCAGGGGGATGAAATAACCCAGGGTTTTTAGCACCATGCTCTAGGAAGTCTATTAGCAGTCAAGAGAATGCCCTTCGTTTAGGAAATGGCTCAGAAGCACCCATACCTAAACCCCTGTAATGCAAGTTTTCCAAGAACTTCCTGAAACACAACCCAAATATAAGCATTTCTTAAGTTCAGGCATTGTAACAGTGACCAAAAAAACGCCCCAGAGTACTTCAAAATGGAGATTTAAGCAGTTGCTATTAGAATTGTATTACTCCTGTTACTAACAGAAAACCCGTATTCCCCATCTTCCACAAATAAGGCCTTTCTAGAAAATTCTTTTACTTTTAAAGATTTTTGCAGTAACCACCTATCTCAGGCTCCCTCAGAAGATGCGAACATGCTAATAATGCTAATTTCCTTCACAGGAAGGAAAATTAAATGTAAAAAACACTGTATTTCGCTATACCTGGTAATTCAGCAGTTAGATTCTGAGGGCCAGATCCCATTGTGTCCCGTAATACCACCTACATAATGAGCTATGTTGTCACAAGGTCTAGGATCCAATCCTGTAGTTACATGATGCATACGTAGAGAAAAGGTAGACTACAGAATGGGGAAGCATCTGGAGCTGTTTCAGGGTTTGCCTGGGTTTCAGATGGAACCACAGGCCTGATTACTTGAATCAAGGGTGATTAGGACTCTTCATGCTTCCTTTTTCCAAACGCCAACATTCAGGAAGATAACCATACACAAAGCAACTCAGGCCCTTGGGCTTCTGTGGTGTGTACAGCATGGTGGGGCAGGGAGATCTTTTCTGTAAAATGGGCTACTGTCCTTTGATTAGTAGCAACTTAACAGCTTAGTCTTCATCAAAGCCACCTCCAAATGATATGCTAAAAGAGGTCATCTCTCTTGAGCTACAAAGGTTATTTCATTTCAAGGTTTAACATCCTATCACAACACACCGGCTTCAAGATGTCTCAGCACCTTTTCCAGCACGTCTGTGGATCTTGTAAACTGCCCTATTTCTACCCCTCCAGCCTCACCGCACGCTCATTCATATTACTGGGTGTTAAAAATAAGTAACATGCCCCCCTTTTCACCTCACTGAGGCTCCCCTAATCCTCGCTACCCCCATTCGCTCCCCATTTCCCCTACAAGTCAGTGCATTTTGTAACTGTATAGGGCATATACTGGCCTTAACTTCAGAATCTCGCTCCCTTAAATCCACATACACCATTGAAAAGCTTGGATTAAATTCTGCCCCTCGGCCCACCTTCAACACTTCGTAACCAACACAGGGCCCTAAGAGATCCTCAGCTGGTGTTTACCCATGAATGGATAAAGTAAACAAAGTTTCGTCTACATGTAGAAGTAAAACTCCAATTCACGCATGCACGGAGTGCTTGAGAGAGAAAGAGGCAAACAGGCAGGAGAGACTCCGCAAAGGGCTTGTCATTAGGCCACACTGGGGCTACTGTCAAAACTAAATGCCTCTTAGTCCCAGTCCACGCTCTCCTACCTTAGTCCAGCTCCACGAGCCGGGCTCCCCCCACCCCCTCCGCCAACAACTGCCACGGCCCAGAAAGGGCTCTGCGGGGTAGCCCCGCTTGTTTGCGGGTCTGTTCGAGGGGCAGAGCCGCCCATCTCTGAAGTGCAAGCGAGCACGGAGCCCGCGTCGGCGGGACAGAGCCGGTGGAGTCGGCCCCGCGGTCCGCCGAGAGAAGGCGCCAGCGCGAAGGCACCACGAGGGGCAGGTGTCCCGGGCCGCCCTAGGCGGGCCAGGAGGGAGTGGAAGGCCGGGCCGGGAACCGGGGGCGCGCCTGGCGCCGCATTACCTCTCCAAGGCCTGCAGGGTGTAGCTGATGAGCGGCCTCTCCAGGATGGGACAGAACTGCTTCGGGGTGGGGACGCCCATCCTCTCCCCGCTTCCCCCCGCCGGCAACACGGCAGCCACGCTGGGAGCGCGGCGCCCTGGCTCGGCCCGGGCCTCGGCCGGGTTCAGCGAAGAAGCCGGGGCCGCCGCCGCCGCCGCCGCGACGCGGGAGTCGCCGGGACAAGGCCCCGGTGCGGCGGGCCTGGGCTCCATGGCGGCGGGCGGCGCGGCAGGCCTGGCTGGACCTGGGCCAAAGCGCCCGGCGAGTGCTCGGGCCCGCGGCTGGGCCAGAGGGTAGAAGGGGGAAGAGCGGGTGAGAGTGGACGGCGCCCACGTACGGAAAGCGGTGAGAGCGGAGGGAGCCGCGAGGGGCAGGCTGCGGCGTGTCCGAAGGGGACGCTCCAGCCGCCAGGTTCCTTCTGGTCGCGTCCGCGACCTCTGCTCCGAGCCCAGCGCCCCCGGCAGGCCTGAGTTCCGCGTCTCCTCGCTCCTCTGGCGGGCCCCGCAGTCGCCTCAGGGGGAAGCCTCAGCCCTCGGTACACACTGGCGGGTCCCAGGACACTTCACAGCTATGCGTAGGCTGTAGAGGTCGGGACGCCCTCCAGCCCCTGTCCCCTTAAAGACATTTGCATTCAAGTCACGGGATGGGACAGAGAAATTTCTACCTTTACTTAAGCTCGTGAGGTTTCCTGGGTCCACCTCAGGAAAGACAGGTGGATGGACAAATGTTATTATGAACCACATCTACTTAAAACCAGACGGCCGCGGGTCTCAAATTTGTCTGCAAACTGGAACTATCTGGGGAGGTCAGAAAGTGCTGACGCCTAGGTCCCACCCTCAGAGACTGGGATTTAATTAGTCCGCGGTGTGGCCGGAGTGTTAGCATGTTTTTCAAGATCCCCAGCTAATTCTAATGGGCTCACAGAGTCAAAGCAGTGATACCAAAAATCGCTGAACAAGCCCACACACATGAGCTCATTTAATCCCCAGAAGAACCCTACTATTACTGGGGTTTTGTTTGTTTTGGTTTTGTTTTTTACAGAGAAAGATAAAGGTGGTAGTATTGAAATAACTTGTGTAAAATTGCACACCTAATGGCAGAGCTGCCTTCAGGCCCTTGCACGCGGAGTTCAGGGATTCCAGGCCTGGAGCATATATGCCCTTATTGAGTGCTGTCCTTGCTGGTCGTGTTTACCAGAAAAATCTAGTTGAGTATTTGTAATGTCAGAGCCCATTGTTTTAGGTCCCTAGAATGTAAACTCCATGAGAGTAGGATACTTACTTTTTTGGTTTGGGTTTTGTGCTCAGCTCCTGGAATTAAAAAAAAAAAAAAAAAAAAAAAGTTTAATAAATATGTATTGAATGAGCTGATTGAGTCAGTTTATCATAATTGAAATATATTTATTTTTAAATATTTGCTAATTTAATCGTCACCTATAAATAGTTAATGTAAGGTTGTTTAAAAAAAAGGAATCTTTTAAGTGCTGAAAATATTATCAGGTTGTAATATTCCAACAGTATTTTTACCCATTTTCCCCAGTTTCGGTTAAAGCAAACAAAATTACAATATAATTTTTCTTTTATTTATCAGTGACCGAACATGGGTTTTTTTTTTAAGATTTTATTTATTTGACAGAGAGATCACAAGTAGGCAGAGAGGTAGGAAGAGGGGGAAGCAGGCTCCCCGCTGAGCAGAGAGCCCAATGCTGGGCTGGATCCCAGGACCCTGAGATCATGACCTGAGCCGAAAGCAGAGGCTCAACCCACTGAGCCACCCAGGCGCCCCTGAACATGTTTTTAATACATTCGGTACACTTGTATTTTCAGTACACAAGTTTCAATATAGAAGTACTTTCAATAAAAAGTAACAAGAAAGTACTTTTATTATAGTGTTTAGCTCCATTATAATTGCAGTTTATCATAGCACTGACTCTTAACTGAAAAATAAGCTTCATAATACACTTAACTTGGTAGCACCACCACCACACCTGTGTCTGGCTTATACTAGACACTCAAGGCCTGTTGACGAACTGAATGGGTAAATGAATAAAGGAATCTATACAGAGGAGGAAATGCAAATCAAATAATTGTTTCTATTAATATTAATTTTAGCTTCCCTTCTTAATCTAATAGTGGCATTAAAAGCTATTTTTCATTTTTTTAAAGATTCATTTATTTATTGGAGAGAGGGAGAGAGAGAGAAATCACAGAGGGAGAGAGGGAGAAGCAAACTCCCGGCTGAGCAGGGAGCACAATGTGGGGCTCCATCCCAGAACCCTGGGATTATGACCTGAGCCGAAGGCAGACACCTAACCAAATGAGCCACCCAGGCGTCCCTATTTTTCCTTAATCTTCAGCAAAAAAAAAAAAAAAAAAGTAAGCATAGTAATAAAAGTCTTATTTCAATTGCTATGTATTATAAATAATTAAATCTTTACAAATTTTTGGAAGAATCATGTTTTATTGATTTAGCTTTGTTTTAGAGAAATATATAAATTTTGCTCTGTTCACTATGAATCTTAGATCTTTTATACTGTATGTTAACAGTATTTAACAGACTTGTATTGAAAATAAAGGAAAGACTGTTCTTTATCTATCACGGTATCAGAAGCAACATTTTTTCCTCTATCTTTTTATACAGATATAAAAAATTAGTTTCTTATGCATACTTTGGTTAAAAAAGAAAAGGTAGTTTCCATGTAGTCCTATACCAGGTTGTAACAGCCACATTATGAACTTATCTTCTCTGCAACAAGTAGCTAAAAGTACCTACCTTGGAAAGTGAGAACCTCTGTGACCCATTGGTAATAACCACTTAACGGTAAACAATGGTCAGCTGATAAGTTTAGAGAAAATAAACCCCAACCATATCACAATGCAGAGCACAGAAAGGGGAAAATTCTTCTAGTCGTTTTCGGTCTGGGCATCTATGGTAGGTAAAATAATGCTTTCCCAAACTTGCCCATGTTCTAATCCCTGAAACCTGTGAATATGTTACCCAACCTTATAAAAGGAACATTCCAGCTGTAATTAAATGAAAGCCCTTCAGATGTGGAGTGTATCCTGGGTGATCCAGGTGTGCCCAATATAATCACAAGTGTCCTTATAAGAGAGTGGTCAGAATCAGAAACAAGTGTGAGGACTGAACTGAGCTGTAGGTCACAGTAATAGGAAGCTATGAGCCAAGAATTCCAGGAGCTTCTAGAAACTGCATAGAGCAAGGAACCAAATTCTTCAAGAAATTCCAGAGAAATGTAACCCTGCCACCCCATTTTTGAGATTGCTCACATCTACAACAGTTAGATAATAAACTTGTTCGTTTTAAGCCACTATATTCGTGATTTGTTAAAACAAACACGGGAAACTAATACAGTTTTATACTCAGGACAACCTTCAAACTTCTAACTTGATGCTAATCTTCAAATAAAGTTATACATGGTAGAAATAGAGTGATGTGACAAGAAAGAAAACACTGTCCATTTGACTTTACTTATGTCCCATAACTATACTCTCAGTACACTATGATTTTTAACATACTCTTTAACTATCCTGTGAATAATAAAATGTGTTTCAATGTACTGCAAATATTCAAAGCATAGCTTTGTTAAATATGTACCACAATTTTATAAACTCACCTTAAAATGTCTTCATTTTTTTAATGCGTATAGAAGTGCCCATTGGATGAAAGTGGCTCTCATCTTCATATCTGAAAGGCCTAAAACTCCCCCTTGTTGTTTGTTTCTTTAGCAGTGTATCCTGGAAGAGTATCTCAGGGACATTATTATGATTATTACTAAGTTTTAGATTAGATTGAGTTTATTTTTTTTTAGTGTTAATCCAAGCATAATTATCACTGCCAATCATTCCCCTCCCTATCCATACTTACCATTTTAATAGCATGTCTAGAGGTTAGTTGGGCTGTTGCTCATAAATGCTAATCAACAGCTTAATGGTTTACCCTTTAACTGCTGAAATAGGAGCCAAACAGGATGTATTACTGTTCTACCATGGGCCAGTCCCAGTATTTCCATCAGTCTATGAATCCCAATTCCTGTTTTGCCATTTTGTCTTACATTGTAGTCTATTAACCTCTGACCTTTAACTCATTTTTATACATAAAAAAATGATGCTCCACAATGAGGTCTTTCTGTGGATAATTCAAACTAAACACCATACGTCAACAAGAATACCAGCTTTCATTTTCTCAATATTTCTTACAAAGCAAATTATCAGCTGTCTCCACTGTCTACTTTGTTTTTCCTATTATAGCTAAGAAAGGAAACAATGATAAATAGCCTTAGGACTGAACGATAAACTTAATATCATTATGCTACCAAAGTTTAACTTGACATAAGAATCATTTCAAGACAATTGTTAACATATATAGTATTTGTTATGTATTTTATATAATATCATTTACATATTATAGATCATATAATAATCTTAGAAAATGTATTATTGGCACTCTCTGACAGAAATTTTGATATAGTCGATCTGGAGTAGGCCCAGAAATCTGCTTTTCTTAAATTCTCCCTTAGGTGAGTCTATGTAAATATTGACCAGACCTACAGTTAAGGGGTGCCTGGGTGGCTCAGTTTGTTAAATATCTGACTTTGGCTCAAGTCATGACCTCAGGGTCCTGGGTGGGAGCCCTGAGTGGAGCCCCAGGTCAGGGTCCCTGCTGTCCCTCTCCCTCTGTCCCTACTCCCTTGTGCACATGCGTGTTCTCTCAATAAATAAAATCTTTAAAAATAAATAAAAATAAACCCGGATTTTTACAAAATTACACCCCAATTTGCTTTATATTCAATGCATTTAATTTCAAGACCTAAAGCAAGGACATGTAATACATTAAACATGCCAAATAAAACTTGCTTAAGAAATCACTAAAACAGTTGTGTTTTATTTCCTTGTTAATTTATAAGGAGAAAAACACAAGGGAAAAATATTTAAGTGTAGGGGGGAGAATGATGTTAGAGAAATGGAGAACTCTGAGAGCTCAAATGAGTACCTCTGAGAGCTACCAAAGGCCATATCTTTGACCACAACTTAAGCAGAATTGAAATTGTTGCCTGGAATTCTGCTTCTGGACACAGAACTACAGGGTACAATTCTATTGTTGGGTGCCACATAACTTCAGAAACTAAAAGAGGGGAATGATCTCTACACATAAGGAATGTGGGAGGGGAGATATCTTTGAAAAGTTTGTTTAG